AAAAAAATGTTCATGCCTTTTTAATTTGTCATTTATTAAAATTATAAATATATATTTTAACTCAAAAGTACAGTTTTTAAATTTAACCCTAACCCTTGTGCGTGTTTTTTATTTTGTGCATAATATAAAAAAAATTACAATTTCTATTGTTACGACTATTTGCATTTCCAAGTTATGAAAATGATTCATTGAACATTCTTTTTTGGTTTTTACAGTGAAAAATATAACTTTTTTTTTCCTCCTCTGATTTAATCTTTTTTGTCTTAATTTAGATCAATCGTGCTAATACAGTATGTCAAAATGAAATAACTGTAAATTCAGACATTTGAAATTGTGCTGAAAAGAATGATTCCAAACAAGACATATCAAAAATAGTCAAAAATGGCCAATTATACTCTAGACCCCAGAGAGTTAATTGCTATAGTCATTTATGGACTAGGCTACACATGGTTCATGAATAACTTTCACATCACATCAGAATATTTTGAACCCTTTATGGACTCATCAGCTAATAGATGAGCATGCACCTCAGCCATAGATTAATCGTCACTACAGGAACTGACGTTATTCCAATGAAGGTACTAATTTTTCTTCCTCCTCCTATTCAGCTGCCGCTCTGTTCTCATGGAAGAACATCTGTTCTGGAAGTTTGAGGCGGCCATGTTGGCTCTGACAACCCTCTTCGCCGTCCTCGTTGTCATCCGCCAGCGACGACTTGACCGCCTTGCCTCTGAGAAGGTCCGTCGCCAGATTGAGTCCATCTAGGATACCTGGACAAGAACTATGACTGTAGTGGTGTCTTAACAGTAGAGGGCAAATGGACCTGCAGAGACTGTTTTCACACTTAACTCTAAATTTGAAACAAATATAGGAAACAGAAAGTCTTGGCACAGAAACAAGGATGGCTGACATGCCCTGCCCTAAGAAATATGATAAACAGGAACCAGTCAAGTCAAGGGGTGGAGTCATGTCCGCGACATCATTAGAATTAATGAGATTGGAGAAGATGGATTGCGCCTATTGTTTCTGCTTCCTGTTTTCAATGCCATGGTAACCAGCAGCTCTCACCTTCTTTTTTTTTTTTTTCTTCCTTTTTTCTGGTTGTTTGGTTCTTTGCTAAAACGTTTGGATCAATAAAGTTAGGGGATGAGAATTGATAAGAATTTTGCAATTCTGATTCCATTATTAATATCACTTATAAATTCGTTTCCTTATCGATTCCTTTATCCATTCTCTTTGGCTCCACTTTGTGAGTCACCACCATCTCTAAGCAGCATATCAAAGACACTGCAGTCACCCAAAATTATTACATGCTCAGATGTCAAATGTGTGTGCATGTTGCAGGTGTTTCCTCTCATTGTTTTGATCAGTGTTAGGGTCAATACTCAGTCATTCTTGCTTATATTACACAGAACCCTTTTATTTTAAAAGTAATGCAGTATGTTACTTAATTACACCCAGGAGAAAGACATTTGTTATACTACTCGTTACGTTACTGTCATGTTAGTCTGTAAAATAATCTGCAACACACTATCATAATTAGCAATACAAACCTGAGGCTACAGCCCGACACACTAACACAAATCCCTATCCTAATGAGGACAGCACAAAGCAAAGATGAAAACCTTAAAGGTTTTCACAAAGAGACCTTAAAGTGATTCTACTTTAGAAACATGAACCAGTAAAAACGGAGGCTGCAAGTTGTGTGGGCTGGGGTCAGCATTTACTCAGCTTTAACATCACTCGGGGTTCTTGTTAGCTTAGTGTTAGCATGCTGCCGAAGTTTTGTTAACGGTATAATGCAGTTGTTTCTGTCCTGAAGTGGTCTCCACTTTACCATCACGCTCTCATCCTTTGAGAACTGGTTCTCGATTCACATCCCTAAATAAAGTTATTCAGTACTTAATTTAATGCAGCAGAGTTCTGGTCCTTTCTTTGAAGCTTCACATCCTGTGTAGCTGGATGGGCAGGGCCTTTGACATGAATGTGGAATTGATAGTTGATCAATAGATATTTAAAGTGGAAATATGAAATTTGCTAATCTAAATAAAACATTTTCCGTTTTTGTTCTGTTTTTGTCTATATTTGTTTGGGAGTTTGTAAAGAGGAGTGGCTTTGTGTTCAGTAACAGAAGTAGACACATGTTAATGTGAGAAAGGTCACACAGCTGACAGTTTGTTTTTTAAACATTTTCAGATTTCTTTTTCTCCAAATAATAATAGGAAAAACTATCCATCCATCCACTTCCACTTATTTAATTAATGGTCACAAGAGGCTGAAACCTTTCCCAGCAATAGGGCAGTGTATCCCTGGACAGATCACAACAAGACCCATTCACACCTATGGGCAATTTAGAATTACCAGTTCACCCTCTAACTGGATATCTTTGGACTATTTAAGGATGCTAGAGCCGGCTGTGATCCTTTCTGGTTTTTTATTATTATTGTCCGCAATCACGGGTTTATGCATCCAGTGGGACCTTGCTGTGGCTGATGCTGTTAACCTGACAAGCAAGAATTCTTCTCTTTGCTGTCATAGGGATTTGGCTCAGCAATCTACATCTGCATCAAGTATCCTTCACAAATATAATTAAAACAATCCCAAAAGTTCATTCGTTTTAAGTGGGAGAAATGTTTTGTCACATGTCCAAGTGACTTCAGTCTTAGCTGACTGCTGGTTTCCCCAGCCTTATAAATATCACATTGAAATATTACATAATGAGCAAAACTAGCACCACTGATTAACAATGGGCCATGGGGTCAGTTTAATGATCATTAATATGCAAATGTTCTTGATTATAAATAAATGGCTGCAAGTACCATACACAGAGAGTTGGGAAATGGTTGCAATCAAAGCATTGTAAAATAGTGAAAGATGTACCCTTAGGCCTTCTCTCCTGGATCACCTGGAGCATTCTTTAGGCGCCTTCCCATCTTTGACAAATGTCCAGCTAGGATAACCACACTTACTCAGGGCTTCTTGATATGAAGTTCTTCTGCTTCCCTAGCTTTCTCTGTGGGGATGGTGTTCTCTGTGTTGTAGCGTCCTGATGACACTCAATTGGCCCACGTTTAACCAGTGGTGCTAGTTTTGGTCGTTATGCAAATTTAATCTTTATGAGTTTGGCATAGAAATAAAGAATTCTGTCTTTAAAGAATGAATTGTAGAATACATTCTGCATTTGTAATTCATTTTTGAATTCCAATTTAATAAACAGATTTTTAAAATGCTTTTTAAATTACCAATTTAAATTACTTTTTTTTCGCTTCACTCTGCACGTGAGCCTTGTGCTTTGCACTGGGCAGAAGGGGGAGGGGCGGTAGTTACAATCGCAATAGCACAGGAACAGAGCCAGAGGGAGAGAGAGAAAAAGAGCCAGGACAACAACGTCACATTAGAAAGGTATAGTAATCATCCACAACTATTTTCAGTTGCAGATGATAAAGGATTCAGAAAGTTTATTCATGCAGGCCCATATGACAGAGAATGTGCATCTTCTTTTTGTTTTCATATTTTAATTTATATTTAATTGTGTTGTGGTTTGCAGTGTTTTGTGTTGTTTCACTTTAAATTTGTAAAAGGAAAAAGCTGAAAATTTAAATAGTTAAAAGTTGAAATGTGAATAGTTGATTTTTGTATTATATGATTTATTTATTACATTTTATGTGGAGTGAATAAATAAAAGTATATTTACGGTGGCCCCTACAGACAAAGCACATACAAACTTCAAATCACGTACGAACCCTGAAGCACGTACAAACTCCAAAACACGTAAAAACACGTACAAACTCCAAAACACGTAAAAACTCAGAAGCACATAAAAACTCAAAACACGTACAAAAGACAACAGAAGTGCTCCAGGATGCTAGGGGCAGTGTTGAGCTTTTGTTACCTAGTGGCTACACAAGCCAGCAAGTACCAACGACCGGATTTGGTGTGTGGTAGTAACAGGTAAATGAACATTTTTTTTTTTTAAATTATTTGACTATATATGAATGCTTGTGTATAAATACACAAACAATACACATATGCTTTCAATTGTGTAATTTAAGTGATCTAGGTAGCTCTGTTTTGGAAGTTCAGTTCATGCTAGAAATGTGTTTTGGAGTTTGTACGTGTTTTGTCTCTAGGGGCCACCGCATATATTTATATATAAACATATATAAATAAAACCACTTTCTTTTTTACAATAGTAATTCCTTTTGTGCATAATTTTATATTATTGTTAATAATAAATTAATTAAAGCAACAAAACAACCTGAAAAGCCGGTTCGGAGCCAAAAGAGCCGGGAAACAGGAAAGGGAAATGGATTTTGAAATGCAGTTTATTAAAGTGCAATTCGAAAATGTTAAAAGGCATTTTAAAAATCAGTTTATTAAATTGGAATTCAAAAATGAATTTACAAATGCAGATTTTGTTCTACAATTCATTATTTAAACACAGAATCATTTATTTCGATGCGCGTGGCTCTTGTGGTCCTCCATACCACACAAAAACACAGCTCTAATAAAACTACTAAAGATGGATCACATTTCACCACAAACTACGGGAACTCTACTTTCAAGACATTTGATCTTTGAAGTCTAAAACAACTTAAAAGATCAAATATCTTCTCTTTCACTAAAAGCCATATTCTGGCCACCTACGGAGGTTTTGCTTTATTCTCTCTCTCATTTGATGCCACAATGGTTTCCATCACTCAGTGGTACTTTTAGAAAGAGATGCTGGGTACACAAGCACTACCAGTCCAGTGCTTAGAGGGCGAGGCATCAGAATTTGGTTTCTGGATGGTCTACGGTTTGCAGAACGACAGACACGCTGATGGTCTTGCATGTGATGCTTCCGAGTAAACGTTTTGTGACAGAAGCCACAGCTGAAACTTTTCTCACCAGTGTGGATCTTCATGTGAGTCTTCAAGTTTGTTTTACGACTGAATGTTTTATTGCACTCTGGGCAGCTGTAGGGTTTCTCTCCTGTGTGAATGCTCAGGTGCTGTTTCAAACTGCCACTGTGTGTGAAGGTTTTACTACAAAACGGGCAACTGAATGGTTTCTCGCCCGTGTGAGTCCTCAAGTGGTTCATTAGAGTAGTCTTGTCTTTAAAACCTCGGCCACACTCAGAACAGCTAAACGGTTTCTTCTCTGTGTGAATCCCCACGTGTCTGTGCAGGTTTCCACTGTCAACAAATCTTTTCCCACACTGAGAGCAGGTGAAGGGTTTCTCTCCAGTGTGTGTTCTCAGGTGCCTGTTAAGATTTCTGCGATGACCAAATTTTCTCCCACACACAAAGCAGTTGAATGGTTTCTCATCATTGTCACATTGCATCTGAGGCAGTGCAGGTTCACAGGGCTGCTCACAGTCGGCATCACTGACATCTGTGTCTGAAGTCTTCTCATCAGGCTGCAGATATGGATCAGGATCTGGCCAACCGACAGAATCTTTAATGTCTTCAGTCTGGCTGTGATGAGGCTGTAAAGATCCAGGTTTTTCTTCATCCTCTTCACTCTTAACAGGGAGAGCACTAAAGGTGAACTGGGTGATATTGACTTCCTCCTGCTCCTCTTTAATGCTTGGGTCCTCGTGGTCCAGACTGGAGCTCCACTCTTGCCCCTCTTCTTCACCAACAATCACTTTTCGGATGCCTGGAGGTAAACCTGAAACACAGATATTGATATTGAGTAGGGCTGGGCCATATTATACCGTTCACGGTAATACCGGTATAATGTTAGGCAACGATAGGAAAATGAAATAT